CCGCCCCGCTGCCGCCGGAACTGACGGCAATGGCCGCTCCGCCCCGCATGCGCGGCGGGCCATGGCGGGAGAGTCGTGAGGGGAGCGCGGTGATTCTCCGTCGTCGTCTGCGGTGCTGCTCCTGGTGCTTCCACGGGGACTGGAAGCCTCTGCCTGTAAATACGAGGCATTCTTCCAAGAGGCACGCGTTAAAATGAGTGAATGAATGATTCACCTGGATACTGAATTTCAGTCGACTGTGTAGGAAAACTTAAAGGGCTCTAGCCCTTAGGACCAAGTCAGCCTTCCTGGCATTCCCAAATGCCGAAACTTGTCTGGTGTCATAGAATCCTCCAGTCCAACTGTCAACCCAGCACCGCCACTGTTATCCCTAAACCACATCACCTAACTCAGCTGCCTCTTAAAGCCTTCCAGGAATGGTGATTTCACCACCATGGGTAGTGTATTCTAATGGCTGACTACCCAAACAGTGGAAAAAAATCTTTTTCTAATACCTAATCTGCATCTCCCCTGTCTCAGCTTAAGTCCTTTTCCTCTGGTCCTCATACTGTTGGGACATCAAAAAGAGGCCAGGCCCAGCTCACTACAGGCTCCTCTGAGGTAGTTGAGAAAGCAATGAGGTCCCCCATGAGCCTCCTTGAGAAGAGCAAGATCTTTGAGGATTTCTCAGTCATGTAGCTAAAATGGCAAAATCTTGAAAACTCTGGAAGTACAAAAACTCCACAAGTATGAGTCTTGTATGAGAGTTCAGGTGAATTTCTGGTGGAGGATGTGGGAGCCTTAATGATGTTCAGTGAGGCCAAGTGCAAGATGCTGCACCTGGATGAGCCATCCCCAGTATCAACACAGGTTGGGGAATAAGTAGATTGAGAGCAGCCCTGCCAAGAAGGTCTTGGAGGTGCTGGAGGATGAGATGCTGGATGTCAGCTGGCCATGTGTGCACTTGCATCCAGAAAGCCAAATGTCCTGAGTTAATCCCAAAGTGTGGGCAGCAGGTGAGGGAGGGGATTCTGCCCTTCTGCTCCACTCTGGTGAGACCTCACCTGCAGTGCTTCATCCAAGTCTGGAATCCCCAGCACAAGAAGAACTCCTGGATTCAAAGACTCAAGTCCAGAGGAAGCCATGGAAATCATCAGCAGGCTGAAGTGCCCCTCCTGTGGAGACAGCCTGACAGAGTTTGGGTTGCTCAGCCTGGTGAAGGGTCCAGGGATACCTTCTTGCAGCCTTTCATAAGAGGCAATGTTATTACTTAAAGTAATGGCACTCCAACAAAATAATTTCAATAGAACTCACAGTGTTTGAAAAATTTGAATAAACAATTGCATTTAGGTAGAACCATAGAATCCTTTAGGTTGGAAAATACCCTTAATATCATCAAGTCCAACGTAGTACTGCCAAGGCCATCTCTAAAACATGTCCCTAAGAACCCCATCCATATGTCTTTTATATCCCTCATGGGATGGTGATTCAACCACTTCCTAGGCAGATGGTTCCAATGTTTGACAAACCTTTTGGTGGAGAAATATTTCCTAATACCCAATATAAACCTCCCCTGGCACAACTTGAGGTCATTTCCTCTTGTACTGTCGCTTGTTATCTGGAAGAAGAGATTAGCCCTCACCTGGCCACAACCTCTTTTCAGGTCTCCTCAGCCACTGTGGCACAAGCTGTGGGCTCTAGGCAGATCTCTCTGCTCCCCTTGGGTTTTCCCAATTTGGCAGACATGACGAAAAACAACAGCATAAAAGAACTGAACAAGCTTTAGCCTTTATTTTCAGTTGTCTTCTAAAAAATGGACATTTCCCAGAGGGAAAGGAGCTGGAGAGATGGCAGCAGAAGCTGGACACAGAGACTCAGACAGAGGCTGACCAACCCCCAAAGCAGCACAGCCTTAGGGCCAGAGAGGGATGGGGTGTGCTCAGCCCAGTCACTCACAGCCTCCCTTCTCCTGCCAGGAGCAGCTCCTGCTCCCTCTACCCCTTTGCTGGGACTCAGAGAGGCAACTACACCTGATAAGCTCTCAGCTGGCAGCAGGGCAGAGATGGGCTCTGAGGAGCTCAGAGGGTCCTTCACCTGTGCCTTCCCATCACTAAGCTCAATAACCTCAGAAATCCTGGTAGTTTGATGAGGGTTTATTTGTATATTGAAATCACGAAAGACCCTGGTAGTATTTATAAGAAATTCACTGCTGGAGTAATGTCAGCTGTCTCCACAAGATGTCACAAGACAGTAAGGATCAAGAAAGAAATCGATCCTTCCAGACATCCAGGCAGCATCCCAAGATATTTGTGCTTCCTTTCAGATATAACATACATACAATGGCCTCACATTGAGGCCTCAAGAGAATTATACAGCCTAAGAGATACAGATTATCTGCAATAGCTAACTATAAATGGTGTCCCCAAATACAGTAATTTGGGAATTTTATCAAATACTGTTGTTATCCTAGCACCAAGGTGCTTCCAGCTGCTCATGGTGCTATATTTTATCAATAAATCAGTATCATCTGTCACCTTGTCCTTATGTACTGGATAAATTCTATATAAGATAGTACCATTCAGTCAATAAACTGCCTGTGTTTTCCATTAATGAGTCTTTGTAGGTACATTCATTTCTCCCCTAAATTCCATGTGAATTATTATTGTGTAGTCTGGAAAAGCACCTGCTACCTGCTCTTCTTTGTCATATTAAGTAGAGATAATTTAGTGGCCTTAGCAGATTTCTTACTAATACAAACCATCAGGCAGGTTGTTTGTAAAACATACTGGAAACTTTTTTGTTGAAACCATTAATGAATTATGGATGCTAACTGTGAAACAGAAGCACAGTGACTGTAGAAATTGCAGGCCACATAGCTTTCTCAGTCTTTCCTGAGAAAGTGGCCTGGGAAATCTTAAGGAGGAATTAAAACAATCCTCAGAGACAGAAAACAGCCTTGCAGGTGCTGTTTGTCTGCTCCTTGTTTTTTTTGCAGGAGAAGGTCGAGGGGTGGTGTGCCCCACTGACCAATGATGGTGATGTAGTAGTTTACTAACCAATAAGAGTTTCTTTTCTGTACTTTTCACGTATCAGTCTATAAAAAAGATCTAAAGCAATAAACCGAGAGAAATTCTCCTGATCAACTCCTAAGAGAGTCTGTGTCGTTCATCTCGCCGTTCCTAATAGAGCGATGATGTGTCATCAGCTTCTGGAAGTGCTCACTCAACCTGCGGCTCTTACCCAAACAGGCACAGGCAAACTTCTGGAGCCAGCACTCCCAGCAGCAAAACCCCATCCACAAGCACGTTACAACCTTCTTATGCAGCAGGCCCACAGCGTGGGGAATGTGTTAATAATGAAGATGCAGCCCCATCATCACTTCATAGTTTACATGTGCCCTCCACACCTCTCCCACAGCTCTGACAAGTATCAGGATGAACAGACACTGCAGCTGCAGAGGTGTTGAGCAGCCTGTAATTACAGTTTGGGTTAAGACTTTTCTAGGCAGTGGCCTGTAATCGGGATACACACAGGAGATGCCTGGTTGTCATTACAAACAAGCTCCCCACACTCCTGTACCAGCCTGCGGCTGAGGGGCCATGATGAGACGAGAGGAAGGGGAAGGCCCAAGGCTGCTCCCACCTGCGCTGGGACAGCAGGAATCCATTCAGGTGGGAAAACTGACTGAAAAGTTGCTCAGCACAAAATGGCCTGGTGTAAAAGGACCTGGAAGTGCTGATTGACAGTGGCTGAATGTGAGCTGGGGTGTGCCGATGGCTTCCTGGCCTTCTGTGTCAGCACTAGTGTGGCCAGCAGGACCAGGGCAGTGATTGTCCCTCTGTGCTGGGCACTAGGGAGGCCACACCTCGAGTGCTGTGCACAGTTCTGGGCCCATCAATTTAGGAAGGACATTGAGGTGCTGGAGCATATCCAGAGATGTACACAGAGCTGGTGAAGGGGCTGGAGCACAAGTCTGATGAGGAGCAGCTGATGTAGCTGGGGGTGTTTAGCCTGGAGAAAAGTGACCTTATCACTCTACAGCCACCTGGTGATCGGTCACAGGCCTCGATGTTCTCAGAGATCTTTTCCAGCCTACTAGATTCTGTAATTCTATGAAGGGACTCGCAGCCGGAGGCGGGCGAGTTCCTGTGTGGGTCCCTGTATTGCAAGGAGCTGAAGGGAGCAATACTCCTGGGAGGAGGCGGGTCCCGGTGCTGTTGGGAGCTGTAGTCCCGGCAGCGGGCGTGTCCCGGTGCTGTTGGGAGCTGTAGTCCCGGCAGCGGGCGGGTCCCGGTGCTGTTGGGAGCTGTAGTCCCGGCAGCCGCCGCCTACAGCTCCCGGCGGGCCGTGCCCGCGCTGCCCCGGGGACGGGCTGAGATGGCGGCGGCGCGGCTGAGCGGCGCCGAGAATCGTCTGGTGTCGCTGCCCCTGTCGCGGATCCGCGTCATCATGAAGAGTTCTCCGGAGGTCTCCAGCATCAACCAGGACGCGCTGTTCCTCACCGCCAAGGCCACGGTACCGGCTCNGTCCTCGGGCCCTCGCGCCTCCCCTTCCCCGGCTGAGGGGCCTTCGGAGCACTCCCGCGGCCCGGGCCGGGCTCCCGCTTCCCTTCTCTGTCCGCACCCCGAGACTGAGCTGACCTTAAAGCTGCCCCGAGTGTAGGATCATAGAACGGTTTGTGTTGGAAGGAACCTTAAAGAACGTCTGTTTCCAAACGCCTGCCATGGGTAGGGACGCCTTCCATTAAACCGGGTTGCTCCAAGCAAGCCCTGTCCAGCCTGGCCTTGGACACTTCCAGGGATGAGGCGGCCACAGCTCCTCTGGGCAACCTGTGCCAGAGCCTCACCACCCTCACAGGGAGGAATTTCTTCCTAATACCTGATCTAAACCTACTTTCTCTCAGTTTGAAGCCATTCCCACTTTTCCTGTCACGACATACTCTTGTAAATAATCTTTCTCCATCTTTCCTGTAGACTCACTTCAGGTACTGAAATTTAACGAGTCTCTGCACTGAGTGCCCAGTGTATGTGCAGTTAAATATGGTGGTTCTGCCTTTAGATAGGTATCAACAATATGTGTGAACTCTTAGTCTGACTACTCAGTTTTGTTTTAATTTTTTAGGAGCTTTTTGTTCAGTATTTGGCTACATACTCCTACAAACACGGCAGAGGGAAGGAGAAGAATGCTCTGACTTACACTGACCTGTCTCATACAGCAGAAGAGTGTGAGACCTTTCAGTTCCTTGCAGGTATCGATAACACAAGGTTAAATCCAGTGTCTGCTTTGCAAAATGAAATCTTGCTCTTAAAGCTGTTTTGTGAGGACCAGTTCTCCTACTGGTCATTGATCTCCTGCTTAGCATTCAACTGGAACTCATAAACTACCTCCCTAAAAGAACGTTTCTTTGTGAATGGGGATTTTTCTGCTGCCTCTAAATTACACAGTTATACTGTATACAGTTCTCAGGATGTTGCCTTAAGCATATGTTAAAGTCCAGCAGTTCCATCTGAAAGTTTTCATCCTGTGAAAGAAGATCATTGCACATCTTTAGGTGAGAAGTTAGACCAAAAATGACACATAGAAATCTAAGTTTTGAGGAAAAGAGCTTCATCATATGGTCCCTTTATGCTTTTTAGATATATACACACACACGTTTTTACTGAGACTTAGATTTTATATTAATGGCTTGCTGGATCTAAAGCAGTTGAGCACTCTGTTTTACATCAAATAATTTACATCAGCAGACAGTAAAAGTTGCCAGTAATCAGTCATGAAATAGAGTCCTTATCTTTGGTTACTTGTGCCATAAGTGGGTAACTCCCTCCTACTCCTGTGTGTGGGTCAGGCTGACTTACTTGGTTATTCAACTAAAGTTTGTTAAAAATACTATTTTTTTTTACTTAATTTCATTAGTGGTTTGGATATAACAATATTAATGAGGCAATACAAGTATTCAAATTGACTATAAAAGCAACAATTCTGCCTTTCAGATATCTTGCCAAAGAAGATCCTAGCTAGCAAATACCTAAAAATGCTTGAAAAAGAGAAGCGAGATGGAGAAATGAGGGAAGACGATGGGGGTGAGGAGGAAGAGGATGAAGATGAAGCTGTTGTTGAGAGTGTTGTATCTTAAGGCCAGTGGAGAATTGTTTCATAGTTGGTCCGTTTTCTATTGTATAAAGTATTTTGTTCTGTGACTGAGAATCCAGATGCTGGATATATTTATACACTGAGCCATCTGCTTTTGCTTTAAGAAGTTTAGAAACTGAACTTCATACTTGTTGGAGAATGGAATTCTTCCCTCAGAAACATGACGGGGTAGGAAGAGACAGTGCAAACCTGACAGCAGAGCTTCGTCAGATGATTTGAAATTATTTTGTCAGACAATCATTACCCAAATTTAGAATTTCTTTCAGGCAGCTTTCTGTTCAAAAGCTCCAAAAGTGGACCAAGTCCATTAAAAAAGTGTGTAAAAACAGCCATGTGGGCACCCAAACAGGAGAGGAGGAAATCCATCCCAAGAGCTAATGTGGTTCTGCAGCTGTGGTGGTAAATGGGGTCAAAAATTATGTGAATATGTGCATCTAGAACCCTTTTTTTTGAATGAACTCCACTTCTGAAGTTTCTCTTGCCAAAATGCACATTGAAGTCTGTTAATTGTGCGTTCTTGAGAATGTGCAGCTCCTTTACCCATGTGAGTGACAGAGATGAATTTTTCATTTGGTTTTGGTTTGTTTTTCTTTTCTTTTTTTACTACAGAAACAGCAACCGTCCTTGTGTAGAACTTTACATGCAACTTTTTAAAATAAATGTTTTGTATGAAAACTGACAGTGGATGCAGAAACTTCCTGTAGTTTTTTCCAGTTTCAGTCACACACGTGGTCAGTGTGGAAATGTTTGCAGTGTCATGGTCAGTCTGAGAGAGAGAAGTGACTGAGATCTGGCCCCAGGGGTGAAAAATACCCCAGGTAAGCAGGGGAATGTTAACAGGTAACAAGAACCTCTGTTCTTGTTAAGCTCTGCTCAAGCTCCAGAAAAGCTGGGAAGCAGATCAGCCAGGAATTTGTCTAAAGCAACACCCTAATTTCAAGGGCATGGTACTTACCAGAACTGAACAGCTGAAATAGCTTCTCTTGTGTTGAAGACACAAACACACTCAACTTCTCTTGAAACATAATAGGAAGCTCCAGCATATGCACAATCCAGCACATTCCATTCTCTGATAAGAAAGTCAAATGGAGCTTAGGGTAGGTAGGATCAGGGGCTGGCAGAGCTACTGAGCCACACCAGTAATGCTCCTGTTATTTTAACAGGTCAGAGGATGCTACATTGTAAAAAATTTTCCTGAAGTTGCCATAAATTAAAACTATTGTACCAGGAATGCTGCAGTGAGTGCTGAGTGGGGCTGGATCCCTGGGGAAATTCCCAAGTGGGTAAAGGCAGAACTAAACCATTCTTCCAAGAGCTGGTTTGTGCATTTTTTATTATTTTTTTTTAATATTATTAAAAATGAATGGAGATGTGTGGGAAACTGAGGGTGGAATTTTATTTGGGGACAGGGGTCCCAGTTTTTTGGGAAAGAAAAAAAGATCCAATGGCACAAAATTGCAGTGATTCTCTAGCAGAAACAGGAATGAGGGCAACAATCAAATACCTGAACCACAGATGAGTCACAGCCAAAGAGAGGAACATCCTCAAACAGCCCTGGCAGGGGTCTGATCACAGCCCCATCCCCACTCCTGCACCCTGGGGAGAGGAGGCAGAAGGGAGGGATGGAAAGAGATTGGGAAAGGGGTGGAAGATGTTTTAATTCTTTACTTAGTTTCTTACCATTTAATTCCACTTAATTTGTCAGTAAATTATGTCATTTTCCCTCCAGTCAGATCTATTTTGCTTGTGACAGCAGGCAAATTTCCTTAGTGACCTTGCTGTCTACCTCAGCCCTTGAGCTTTTAAATCCTATTTTCTCCCCCTGTCCACATTGCATCATTTAACAGGAACTTCCTCAAAAGTGACCAAATATCTTGACCTGTTTTAGGTGGTGTGGGACTTTAGGCAGTGAAACATAGGCAAGGGGACACTTTCCAGGATTAATTATTATTATTACTACTATTATTATAGACATTACTATATTTTTTTCCCTTTACAACACCAGCTTATGAGACCCTTCCCCACTCCAGCCAATGCTGCTCAAGGGACATGAAGTTTCCTAAACTTGCCAAAACAACAAAAGAACTGTGGTTGCTAAGTATTCATCCCTCTTAGAAGTTTCCTGTGGGATGGTGAACATATTCTGTGAATTCCTGAGCCCAGAAGAATGTGCACACCCTTCGCAATCGGGAACTCAATCGGGACTTCAGAGCTGCCAAAATTTACCACAGCCCTCTCCAAGGCCCTGCATCTGCCAAAGCTTGTTGCCATCAAACCAGTGAAGGGTTATTTGTTTTCCCCAGGAGCCTGACACAGAGTAAAAACCTCATCCAATTCAAAGTGGTGTTTCAAAAAACAAGGGAAAATATAAAGGGAAGAGACAGCTCTGACAGTATTTCATATTCTTGAGTAAAACCAATCTGTTTGCAGGGTTGGGCTCCCTGAGGAAGCTCCTTGGTATCCTTGCAATGCTGTTGGATGCTTTATAGACACCACCATGTGCTACATTTTCTTCATTTAAAATTGATCACTGTAAGGTTTCACTCAGAAAGGGGGGGGAAAAAAAAGCACATTTCAGGCATGTGGTTTCCAAAATGTTCATCTTTCAAAAACAATTCCAGGATTACAACCTGTAAGGAGTTAAAGCAGCACAGATTGTCTCTGGCTGGGTACAGAGCAGGTGGGAGCACAGGGAAACATCCAAACACAAGCAAGGGGGGAAATGCAAGGGACCAGAGACTTTGACAGAGTCTCACAGTGCACAAGTAACTGCAGAAAATGGCCAAATATTAAATGAAAAAGACATCAAACAATATCTTGTAAAGATGAGGAATTTTATTTTATTGACATACTATGAGGCAAAACAAAATCGACACCATACAAAATAACTTTATAAAATATCATTCACATCATTATTTTGTCAGGAATTACAGCATTCTGAGCTTGTTACAAGTCTTATGTTTTGAGGTGAAAAACACTATGCTAAATCTTTAGTATTAGTTGTATATATACAGTAAGAAACCAGAACAGAACCTGTTAGGTTTTTCATGAGTTTATTGCAAAAGTAGTGCAAACTATTTTACCTTGCAAGCTGTAAAACAAACTTGGAAAAGGACCCACCTAAGCTTAAAAATATGACAATAAATGCTCAATTTCACAGCCTTTGAAGCTTCCTTCAACAGTTCTCAAAAAAATTCCCCATCTCTGCACATTTTTAGATTTTCACTGACTCGGAAATGAAGGAGTAGCGGGTGGGCCTGCAGTAGGGAGCAGGCAGAGAGCAGGAGGATCCTGCTCCAACATGGGGCACTGCTCTTACCCATGGATTTGGGGAATCACACCCAAAACATCCACCAGTGGGGCAGGTTTGGTCACTGTGTGCCCCCATTAATCAACTGCCCCTTTCCACACTCGTATTTAAGAAAAGAATCAAGAAAGCAGAATGAGGCAAAAAAAAAATCCCAGACAAACCATAATTAAGAATTAGGAACATGTATTGTCTGTTTTAGGAATATAGTATCCTTTTCCTCCTCTTCCTGAAATCTATAAAGTGAATTTCCATGGTCCCCCTCCCCGTGTGTACACACTGCAGGGCACATCCCATCCCAAACTCCTGCATGATCCCAAGGCAGGATACTACATTCTGTGAGATCCAGAGAAAACAACGGCCTAAAACACTATCAGGGTCCCCCAAAGCAAACAGGTAGCTAAGTCATCTCCTAAAAAACCAGAAAAGCAAACAAATGCTACATGAAAAATGTTAAAGAAACAAAATGCAGCATATTCAGGCTCTTTTTTTTTTTTTTTTTAATCTTGAGGTACCTATATAAATATTACCTTCTGCCCAAAGTACGATTGGTTTTGTTAAAAAACTAAAGTCCTTATCATGAGCCAATTGCAGGGCAAACATTATTACTGAGAAAGTGCAACCATGCTGATCATTTATCTGCAGCATATTAAAGGATGATTAGGCTTTAGAAAATATAGCTTAAGTCTAGACCTGATGGAGCAGTTTTATAAAAACACTGAACAGAGGCATTTTCCTTTTGTTTGAGTCTCTCTGCAGCAGAAAGCCTTAGGAAACGGCTTGGAAGTCCTGCCATGATGGAATGTCAGCACTTTTACAATCCCATATATAGATCTTTTCTTTTGATATTTAAACTAGCACAATTTTACAGCAAAGATTCCCCCTCTGTAGTAGATACTGGTAAAAAGTGGATTTTTAAAAAATTTTTTAAACTTCAAAAAATGATAGTGTATCACAACGTAAAGCTTTCCAAAAAGGAATTCTTTTTGAGTAAAAAAGGTTCACATAGTAGAAAAAACTTATACATAGTTGTAAACTGTTACATACAAAACTGTGGAAAGGTCAATGATGTTTTATTCCCTCACCCTTACACATGTATCCCTTAATTTTATACTTTTATATATACACATAAACACACAAAGTTGCATGCTATGTGCCTACATAGAGACACAGATGTAGAGCTCTGGGGTCAGGATTAAACATTTCCAAAACCTTCTTTCTTGGGTATTTCTCTTTGCCTAGATCAGCTGTGATACTTTATTTTACAACTTGCTACACCAAAAAATATTTTCAAATTTAGTTTTTTGCGTCACGGCTTAAAACCATTTGCTGTTTTTAATCAGGAAGATGAGTTTTGATTGTTGTGCACTGGGGGAAAAAACCACAAAGGCACAAAGAATAGAACTCAAATCTAAGATTGCTGTCTCAGAACAAGAAACCCAAGGGTTTGGGCCATGAATGGGGTCGGTTTGGTCGCCTTTGCCAAATCTCCTTGACAATTTGAGTAATTAGCACCCAACTGGTTACATGAGGTAGATCCAAATTGGAAAAAAAAGTAAAATAGAAGCAAGCTGGGTCCCCAACATTTTTATTTTTTTTTTTGCCTCTATTTAAAATGTTTTAAGGATCCTATGTCAGTCATAAGAAGTGGAAGCTATTGGCACCTACCCGAAGCAAGCACAGAATTCAAGAATGGCTTTTTTTGGGATGTAAAATTTTAAGTGTTAAATCACAATCCTCCTTCAGGCAGAGATTTGCCGGCAGGGGTGGGGGGAGGAGAATACATCTGACAACAAGAATAACAAAAAGCTGGGATTTGGGAAAGCCAATTTGGGGTCGGCTGCCAAGGAATGCCCGAGAGCCCAAAGAGGCATCACAGTACAGACAGCTACAGGTGTCCCTTACTTCTCAGGCCAGGAGACTGCCTTTACTAACACTGAAGCTCTACAGGAACATCCTCCTGTCGTTAAACAGTATTTTTGCATGCTCTGAGAGAGGAATCTGACACATTTATCATTTAGTTAAGGCTTAGTTTAAAGTGGCATGGCCATCACACAAGTGCTCACCTAGGGCAGCAAGAGAAGCAATGGATTAATTCCACCCCCTGTGACCCCCCCAGCACTGCCAAGTGATGCCTCCAACCTCCATGGGAAAGCCCCCAGTGCCAGGGATGCCCTTCAGAGTCAGCTGAGGGTCATTCTGGGCCTAGTTTTGCATTACAAGTGCTACTCTCACCCAGCCAGCATGAGTCATTTCTACACTGCAAGAACGAGACAGTTCCACAGAAATGCAACACACACACAAAACTACTCAACACACATTTAGTACCACTTGGAACAACCTTAACATCTTACTTTTCCTTAAAAAAAAAAAAAAAAGAAAGCAAACTTTAAATGGTCACACGATCATTTTGATTGGAGAGAACATACACAATACAAAGCTTCTGGATTGATTTTTGGTTCTTTTTTTTTTAATTATTTTATAAAAAAATAATTTTAAAAAAGTTTTGACACTATTAAAACAAAAGATTAATAAAACCTTAACAGATAAAGTCAGTTAATTTTGTAATGTACCAAAATTAAAGAAAAAAAAAATTAGATTTAATCAATACATTCTGTTTTCAATCACTGCTGCACAGAAATCTGGGACTGAATATTTACTTATCAACTGCCCTGAATGCTGAAATCTTTGTGATTGTACAACTAATAAACTGCAAAAGCCAGGGAAATTGTGCTTGTTATTTCCAGCCAAATACTGCCTTTGTATCTTTCATATCCAGCCTATACACTGTCCCCTGTCCTGTCACACACCTGTGTACACACAAAAAAAAGGACACACACAGACCTAGAAAATCTACTAAACTTCACCAACAAATTACAGAAAGGAAGTGGTAACACTCTTCAGGATAACACACAACTCTGCCA